TATCCTGGTATGTGAATCCTGGATTCCTGCAAAGTCACCTCATTTGGGAGGTAGAGGAATTGTCCTCCCAGCAGAAGGGGTTGGTGTAAAGCCCAAACCTCTGCCTCCTTCAAACATTCAGTCCTGGGTACTCACTAAACTGGAAATGAACCCCAGCACTGTCTTGTTATTCCTTCCCCTGTGTCGCCAGAGCTGATGTTCAGTCTGTTCAGAGTCTTTGCTGGCAGGGACAGGAAGGATAATTCCATATCCATATCTGATTATTACAGTTACTCCAACAAAGTTCTTCCAGCCATGGCTAGTGCTGACTCCAGCTTCTCCCTGTGCTTTGCAATACTCTGGAAAACTGGGTTTCCTTGGGAATGTGCCTAAACCCCATGTGATCCATGGGGACACCCCTGCTGAAGGGCACGTTTCTGGGGTGTCGGGGGCAGCATCTCTCTCGAAGTAGCCACAACATCAGTGAACTATGCTCTGTGTTGGTGGGGTTCTTATTTAGGATGAGTCTGAGCAGCAGGTTGCTGTGTTGAGGTCTGTCCAGCTGCCTTCCAGGAGGTATTTTATCAAGCCTTTTGTGCATTGCTATTTGTCTCAGGGTTAAAGGGTTGGAAGGATGGCTGGGATGGGGCTGGAGTTGTTTCCATGATGTCCTCACCTGCAAATGCAGCTTAAATGTCAAAGAACAGTGTCTTCTTCATGCTGTGTGTGTTTGGGTCCTGTTTAGTCCCCAGACATAATAGCTCTAAAAATAGTTTGCTGAGATTCTTTGCTAAGCCTTGGGGCGGGTGGTTTGAACTGGGGGGTGTGAAGTATTGAAATAAGGGGGTGTGTTTGGGTATAGGAATAAGTTGATTTGGGAAATCAAAGCTAGGAGAGCTTCCTAAGGAGATTCATAAGTGGCATCTGGGAATGTGCAGCGTGATGCCCTGGGGTGCCAGCTCTGGTGGCCTCTCCTGGGTGCTCGTGCCTTTGGGTTGTTGTAGTGCTCCTGGCATTCACCCTGTACGTCAGGGCCTAATTTTATCTCCTGACCCACCCGGCTCGGTGGCAGCGTGACACAGCAGTGGACAGGGGGTGACATCAGCAGACAAACATCCTGCCCCGAGCAGCAGCAGGGAATTTTGGGGTGGTTTTTCATCCTTCAGCTACATAAAGGTGGTTCTGCTCCTCCAGCTTGTCACTTCGTGCAGTGTGATCCCTGTGCGAGACTGCTGCGCCTCGGCTTGCTGTGGCACCCTGATTCAGGGCTGCCTGTCTGCACCTCTGGTGCTCTCCACACCCAGACGCCTCCAATTCCAGACACAGTTGTGTTCAACACCCAGAGCTTGACTCTTGCTGAGGGAAAATGGGGTCAATCCTTGCATTTCAAAGGGAACACAACATTGAACACATCAAGAGGTGCGTGTGAGGAGGGAGCTGCTGTTTCCACACTAGCCATCGCTTTGAACACAAAGGGAGGCTCTTTGTAGGCAGTGGAGGCAGCTGGAATCCTCTCAGCAGCACAGCATCGTGTGAAGACAAACAGTTGTGTGGATGGGGTGAAGTGACACGTGTGGATGGGGTGAAGTGACACGTGTATTTGGGGTGATGGTTGGCTTATGTTGTTCTGCCGGGATCTTTATGTGTGCAGGAAGCAGAGCACATCGTGGCTCTAAGCTGATGTTGGAGGATATTTTAGCTGCCCTTTACTTTGCTCCTTGGTGAGGAGCGACTATGGAGCCAGTGTTTAGAGGCTTGTGAACAGCACTGGGTGACCATTGGCAACTGTGGAGGGATGTGGAGACCTCAGAGCAGCTCCCAGTGTCTGAAGGGGGCTACAGGGATGCTGGAGAGGGACTCTTTGTCAGGGACTGGAGTGATAGGACAAGGGGGGATGGGTTCAAACTGAAACAGTTTTATTTCAGGTTGGAGATAAGGAACAAGCTCTTCCCTGTGAGGGTGCTGAGGCGCTGGCACAGGGTGCCCAGAGAAGCTGTGGCTGCCCCATCCCTGGCAGTGTTCAAGGCCAGGTTGGACACAGGGGCTTGGAGCAACCTGCTCTAGTAGAAGGTGTCCCTGCCCGTGGCAGGGGTTGGAGCGGGAGCAGCTTTAAGTTCCCTTCCAACACAAACCAGGCTGGGATTCTGTGATGAGAGGCAGAATACCAAGTGTTTTGCCAGCAGCTGTCTGCAGAGGAGCAGGCAGGAAGTGAAACTGAGACTGTGAAGGGCTTGTTCTGGGGAGCACTGTCCCAGGCACAGGTTCGGAAGGATTCCTTGCCATACGTTTGTGTGTGTTCAGCGAAGCACAGGGCTCTGTTTGTGGCAGGGGCAGCTGCAGGCTCTGGTGTGTGTGAGGGTGTGCAGGGCTGCTCAGCCCTGTGACAGCCACATTAATCAGGTGTTTGTCACCCGCTGGGGTTGAACCAGTGCTGTGCAATTAGAGGATCTCTTAGTCCAACACGTGGACCATGACTTCAGCTCCAGGACTGAGCCACCAGGAATGTAGAAATGTGGCTTTTGTCAAAGCCAGCTCCTTTGCCAGGCAAGAGAGAGGTGAGAGCAGACAGAGCCTTCCTTGGCATGCTTCTGTGCCCCTTGGGCCTCACCATGGGCTGCTGAGCTTGTCGTGGGTGGTTCAGCACCTCTTGAAGGTGCTTTCCCCAGTCTGCATCATCTTCCTGTCACCCCTCTCCCCTGCTGAAGGCCTGAATGAGGGATGTTTAAGGATGTTCCTTCCAGTTCACTGGTTCCAGATGCCCCAGGGGGTGTGGAGAGCTGTTTGAGTTGGAAAAAGTGTTTTAAAGACCCTTTTCCAGCAGGATGCAGCCTCTCCTGGTGTGGGCAGATGGGAAACCCCTGTCCCTGAATTTGACTTTCATTGTTTTCTGCTCTCTGTGGTCTCCATCCTTACTGGGATATTCATTTCCCTGCTGGCTGATCCTTGCTCTTTGCAGGTGGGAAGCAGCTGATGCCTGTTTTATTCCGTCCTCCTGAGCAGCACGGGGATGGGATTTTCTTCCCAGTGAAGAGGAAGGAACCCACAGGTTCATTTGCCCTCGATGGGAGGCTCTACCCATGACCTGGCTCCAGCTCAGTGGCACATCAAGTCCTTGGTTTTGTTCTTGCACATCAGTCATCACCTCCCACTACAGAGTTTGGGAGAAAATCCAACCTCCCACCTTTTGTCTTCACAAAACATTATTGTACGTGGAGGCTACTTTGGGCTGCTGGCCTGCACAGAGCCAAAGAATGGTTTGTGTTGGGAGGGACCTTAAGTTCATCCAGTCCCAACCCCTGCCACAGGCAGGGACACCTTTCACTAGAGCAGGTTGCTCCAAGCCCCTGTGTCCAACCTGGCCTTGAACACTGCCAGGGATGGGGCAGCCACAGCTTCTCTGGGCACCCTGTGCCAGCGCCTCAGCACCCTCACAGGGAAGAGCTTCTGCCCAAGAGCTCATCTCAATCTCCCCTCTGGCAGGTTCAAGCCATTCCCCTTGTCCTGTCCCTCCATCCCTTGTCCAAAGCCCCTCTCCAGGTTTCCTGGAGCCCCTTCAGGCACTGGAGCTGCTCTAAGATGTCCTCTTGAGGAGCCTTCTCTTCTCCAGCTGCCCCAGCCCAGCTCTCTCAGCCTGGCTCCAGAGCAGAGCTGCTCCAGCCCTCGCAGCAGCTCCGGGCACTCCTCTGGCCTTGCTCCCGCAGCTCCATGTCCGTCTTGTGCTGTTCCCCAGAGCTGGATCAGGGCTGCAGGGGGGGTCTCCCCAGAGCACAGCAGAGGGGCAGGATCCCCTCCCTGAGCTGCTGCTCATGCTCTGGGGGTGCAGCCCAGCACATGGGGGGGTTCTGGGCTGCGTGACCAAGCGCAAACGCTGTGGTTTGGCATCTTGTTGTGACTTGTGTTCGTTCCCTGCTTACTGGGGCAGCAGGGAATTACTGTGCAAACCAGTTTCTTCCCTGGGTTGCGCCTGTTGTGGTTTCTGATGGCAGGGCAGGCTCCGCAGGCAGGGAGCTCACAGTGTACTTAAGCAAACCGGCCCCAAAAGTAGAGCAGCTGCATCCTGCCAGAAGCTTGGAATTCCTTCAGTATTGCCGGTTATCAGCTGGTGGAACTGGGACACTCTCAGGTAGCTCCTTTCCGCTTTTCATTGATGGTTAAACACATCGCTGCATCAGTGAGGATCTGATGATCCCATTGAGGTTGGGAAGGTTACCTAAGGAGAGTCTGGGCCTGGAAGCCAGCTTTGTTTTCCTGGTTAGCAGAGATTCCCTGCAGAATTGCTCTGATTGCAAAACACAGACACCTTTGGGAAGGTGGATCCAAGCCTGGGACAGAAGTTGACATGCCTAGAGCCATGCTTGGTTGGCATTGGGGGTCTTTGCAACGTCTTTCCGCCGATGGATGACTCTACAGTGATGGTGCAGAGGGAAGGAGAAGCACGAGAAGGCTCAGGTCTGCTCTGCTGCTTGGGTGCGTGTCGGGCAGGGCAGGGCTGGTTTGGGAAGGAGGGTTCATTGCAGGAGGCAGCAGGAAAGGGGCACTGCCGGCCAGGCCTCCGGATGGCTGCAGGCTCCGGGGCTGAAATCAGGCGTATAGAACGATGTGCATCACCCTGGCCAGCACCTGCTGCTGCTGCTGCTCTGCCCAAGAGGTTTGGTGCCAGCTCCTGCTCGGATCTGGGAATACCTCGCTGTGATTCCCATGGCTGCTCACCCTTAACAGAGCTGCGTTGCCAGCTGAAGTCCTTACAATGAGCCATGAGCGCCTCGCGGCTGCCCTCACACCCTGACACGCGAGACCCACGGCCTGCTGGACGTGTAGTAACGGCTGCGAATGTAGGTGGTGGCTTGGCTCTTGTCTGCTGCTTGGTTTGCAAGTCACCCTCACGTGGAGACACACACGCTCTTTCTGCCCCCTTTATGGTTTCACTGTAAGGTGGAATGAAATGTGGGTGCAGACAGGCTTAAACTCCAGTCTCCGAGATGAATGTTCAGGTTTTCATGTTTCATCTTCTTCCTTTCTAGGAGATAGACAGACGGTTGGAGAAGAAGCTGAAGATCACACAGAAGGAAAGGTAACGATGCTGCATGGCTTGGCTTAAAACCCAGCCTTATTTTCCTGAGGTGCTGTTGGAGATCTGGAGGTCAGGGGAGAGGGAACAGCAGGGAAACGGCTTCAAGCTGAGGAGAACACAGCAAGTTCAGAGTTCAAAACTAGGGAATTCCATGCTCATGCCACTAGATGGCCCTTTCGATCCATAATAGGGGAGTGGAAAGCTTCTTGAGAGTGAGTTTATTTCAGAGCTGGGTCTTCCAGTCTGGCTGTAGCTACAGCTCTGGGGGAGCCAGCTAAGAAACAGACACTCAAAGGGCGAGTCAGGTAATCCCAGCCCTAAGTTGGCTTGACAGGTCTTGCATCAGTGAGACTTTCTTTTCCTGCTTACTTTGGGTTGGGATGTGGGGGTGTGTGTTATCACCTGCTGGTAGAAACGTTTCTAATCACTTCTGACAAGTCTTTTGTTGTTTTGGGTTTATTTTCACCCCTTTGATTCCTGGGAGGCCACTTAAGGAGTCATGGTATGACTTCTCTGGGAATTCCACACAGAGTAGGGACCACAACAACAGTTCAGGTGGTGACAGGGACCGAGGTGCGAAATGGCAGCTTGGGCTGGGTGTCCTGATGAGGGCAGCTTTGACAGTTTTTGCAGGGAATGGAATCATGGTGCTTATATCAATATCTTCAAAAAGAAGCACGAAAACTTCAGCCCAGTATCTGCTTCCCTTTGCTTGAAGATGTGGGAGGCAGAAGGGACTTGATTTTCCGACCCTGGACTGCTCTACTTTAGGCTTACAAATATACCAAGGTCTTTAATTAGCACAGGCTGCCTCTTAATCACAGGATGACATCTGACAGGCAGGAATTCCCATGCAGAGCAGGAAAACTCTCTTGGTGCCAGGATCAAGAACCCAACTGCCTGTTTTTCCCTTTCCAACAGCAGAAAGTCCAAATCTCCTCCTAAAGTGCCGATTGTGATTCAGGACGACAGCCTTCCCGCAGGGCCTCCCCCCCAGATCCGCATCCTCAAGAGGCCTACCACCAACGGCGTGCTCAGCAATCCCAACTCCGCCAGCAGGCCGGCCTTCCCGGTGAAATCCTTGGCGCAGCGGGAAGCGGAGTACGCGGAAGCCAGGAAACGAATATTGGGTAGCGCCAGCCCCGAAGAAGAGCAGGAGAAACCCATCCTAGATAGGTGAGAGCAGCTCCTTGTGCATACTGTGTGCTCCTTGCAAACTCCCTCCTCGAACAGAAGCTCCTTGAAGAGTAAAGTGAGGCCACCAAGGAGAAGGCGTGCTTTGCTAGCCAGCAGTGTGTCCTTATTCTCAAATAGGTGGGACTTCAGGGAGGTGGAAGTGCCTGATGGGGCTGTTCAGGTGATCTTAGATCCTTGGAAGAGCATGTTGGAGGCAAAGAGAGGCGTGTGGACAACCAGGGTTCATAGAACCCCAGACTGGTTTGGATTGGGAGGGACCTTAAAGCTCTTCCAGCTCCAACCCCTGCCACGGGCACGGACACCTTCCACTAGAGCAGGTTGCTCCAAGCCCCTGTGTCCAACCTGGCCTTGA